AAATAAATAGATATAATTAAAATTTAGTCTTAGAAGTCTGCTGCCTTCACTTTATTGGAGAGTTAAGTTTAGCTTGCTTTTAAAGTTCGTCCAAGACCGCATAGCGCAGTGGATTAGCGCGTTTGACTTCGGATCAAAAGGTCGTGGGTTCGACTCCCACTGTGGTCGCTTCATTTATTTTTTGTTTTCTTTTGCAATTTGGATAGGCTACACGATACGTGTGGCTACTTGTTCAACTTTATACAAATTTAAGTATGATGTGTCTATTTGTTCAAATTTATACAAATTTACGTGTATGTTTACTTATTCAACTTTACATAATTTTGAATGTCTACTTGTGCGGATTCAAAGTTGAAGGAGCATAAATATTAATCGAAGCCAAGTAACAGTTTATGTATTATGTCAATATAATAGTTAATTTTAACCAAATACATGCGTATCGGCCTTACTTTAAAAATATATACATTTTGGATCGATGCTATGACTTCGAAATGTGCATTTCAACTATTGAGAAAGAAAATAATGATCTCTTTCTAGTCTACAACTTAAGATCTCTTTCTTAAAGATAGTATCATAGATATACTTTAAACTACAATTTTTTTGTGATTTCCAATATTTTACAACACCAAGTACCAACTAACCAAACAGGCCCTAAATCCATAAGAAAACCAAAAAAAAAAAAAAAAAAATTAAATTAAAGTAAAACTAAGAAAGACATATAAAAAAAACATGGAAGACAAATTGGATTAAAGTTCTATCTTAAGCCATTAATGGTGCGCCGCTCCATATTTATCAATTACTTATTATATATATAATCCCTTATTGTATGGACCAAAATTCTCCTTATCTTTTTATTTATTTTTATTTTTAAGAAACAAGAATATTTTATTGATCAAGATTGTGAGTACAATTATGTTTCTCCCTTGATTTTTCTCTCATAAGATTTATCCATGATTCGACGGCCGTTAGTGGTGTATTTCCCGAACTTGGATGATTTGGACTTGATTTTCATAATTCGAGGGCCTTCAGAGGCGTATTTCTCGGACTAGGATGATTTAGATTTGATCTTCATAATTCAAGGGTTGTTAGTGGCATATTTCTCGAATTAAGATGATTTGGATTTCATCTTTTTATAAATTTTCCATAAATTTGCGGAATATTTGAGATTTTGATCTCTTTATGGATGAACTAGGATGATTTGGACTTGACCTTCATAATTTGAGGGCCGTTAGTAGCGTATTTCCCGAACTTGAATGATTTGGACTTGATTTTCATAATTCGAGGGCAGTCAGAGGCGTATTTCTCGGACTAGGATGATTTAGATTTGATCTTCATAATTCAAGGGTTGTTAGTGGCATATTTCTCGAATTAAGATGATTTGGATTTCATCTTTTTATAAATTTTCCATAAATTTGCGGAATATTTGAGATTTTGATCTCTTTATGGAATTTTTGAGATGACCTATCTTTTTCACGCAATTTTCTATTTTTATTTCCTGCTTACCAAAGATTAGGCGTATGTCGAATTATGGTATTGAGCTCATCTGAATTTGGTATTTTTATAGTGAAACATAAATTTATACGTAGAAGATGGCAACAAAAAGTTCAAATATTTTTAAGTTCTCTGAACTAGTACTTTCAATTACAAAACTTTAGATTTTTTTTCCCGAGTAAAATGCTAGGCCAACCACAACTTCAAATTTAAAAATCATAATCTCAAAATTTTAATTTCAACTTTAAAATCTATGATCAAACGGGAGTCTAGATTCGATAGTAAAGGAAATGAAGTTCAAATTGAAAAAGAAAAATAAAAGAATATAATAAAAGTTCAAATTTCAATTCAAAATCTATGATCAAATGGAAGTTTAGATTCGATAGTCGAAGAAATAAAGTTCAAACAGACAAAAAAAAAAAAAAGATACAATAAAAGTTCAAATTTAAATTAAAGCCTGATCCATCTGCGCAAGTAACGATTCAGAATATTTCTTGATTCAAACAAGTACTTGACAAAAAAAAAGGTATAAAATTCCACACTTTTGTGTACAAAAGTTTTCAATCAATTGATGATATAAAGAGAGGTAATTAAAGTCCCAAAAAAGGAAAAAAAGCAAATAAGGCCACCTAATACAAAATTGAAAACAAAGTAACAGATAAAGTGGTGCCTTGTAGTACTAATGTACTAACAGACAATCCCAAAAAGAAGAAGCCATGATTATGACTCAACATTAATTCAAGGCCTAAATTCAAATGGAAATTTTCATTTTATTGCATAAATGATCACCTTGAATATGCTAGATATCGATATCGATGATAATGAGAGGTAGCACGATATCAGACAATGAATATCGTTTCTACATCTATGCATGTTGTTGGTAGGTCAAATCTAAGCAATAAATATTGATCCAACATCTAAGCCTTTAGTTGATAAGTAGATCAAATCACTATCCAAATAATTAAATTGAAGGTATTACTATATTTGCATTTGAAATTGGAGTATATGTATTTTTAACATTTAATTCATTATAACAGTGAATTTATCATATAGTTTTTTAACATGACTCATTAAATATATCTTAGTAATTAGAAAAGAAAATATTGGTGAGGTGTAATACATTGCCTAATATGTGTCCGCATCTGAACTTGTAGTTAGTAAGTCAAATCTAAGTGATAAATAATTAAATATCGTCTTGCACTTAAGCATATAGTTATCAGGACCGACTCGACTATAAGACCAATTAAAATGACTTGCATGTGGTTCCAATTATTCTAAAAGTAACATCGAAAGTGGTGTCTTGCTGGTACGTATAGTAGTAATGTACAATAAGACAACCCCAAAAAAGAAGAAGCCATGATTATGACTCAACATTTAAGGCCTCAATATATCCACTCCAAAGAAGAGAAAGCAATGAAATTTCATTTTCACTGATTTAGCACTACCATTTGGATCCAACTAGGAGGTCTTATCATCGATTTTTATGGCATATGCATGATCACATCGAATATGCTAAGAAAGTAAAGGAACAGAAGGAAAAATAAAATTAGATAGTGAGGGGTGTCACGATACTGGACAATAAATATGTTTTTGCATCGATATGAAAATGTAGTTGGTAGGTCAAATCAAATCACTATCCCAATACTAGTAATTAAAATTGAATTTGGATTGAATTGAAGCTACTATATACGCACTTGGAGTTGAAATATACGTGGTTAATATTTAGCTCAACTGTGAATTGTGCTATAGTCTATATGCAACTAAGCTACCATATATATGTATATATTATATGTTACATTAAACATGATATTAATATAAAAAAATTAAATTCGAATTTCATCGTGACTCATTATTAGACATTCAGACAACAATTACCCCACACCATTTCCACTTATGAACATCCATGCTTAAAAAACCTTATAATTTTGACGTGTTTTTTTTTCAAAGCGTGAACCATCATTTGACAGCGTGCGTTTCTTATAAATGATAATATGTTTCATTTGTCTATCATATTACTCCTCATGAATTAGGAGGCACAATAATTATGTATGTTTGAGTTGACGTTTTAAATATTGTAAAAAATATTTACATAGTCAAATTACTTATTAGTTAGATCGTATCAGTAAAATTCATTGATTATAATAAGGTTTTTACAACATCATATGGACCTGCAATTACTTTTTTAATGACATAATTGTGTAAAATACATTTTACTTCATCTTATTTTGTAGCTCGGCACATAATGAGAGTTTAGTGCATTGAATCGCTTTAATAGATATAACTTAAAACTAATATAGCTCGTGTGGGTAGAAAATAAGTTATCCCAATATTATTGATCCCACCTTCGATGTGCATTAAAAATAATACTGAAATAAATTCATCTTAAAATTAATTTTAGAATTAGTTATTCCTCAACTCTAGTATCAAACGCAGAGTAACTCTTCTTTTTCGGTTTAAAATTTTCGGTCTTTTTTTTTTAATCTTATCCTGGTCAAATGTTCTTCAACTGCTCGACAATCGTTAAATGAGTGATCTGGAAAGTTGGTAAAAAAAAAAAAAAAAGACATTCCTAAAGACAAGCATGCCAGCCTTATAATTTTCAATAGTATACAAAAAGTAGGAGAGAAAAAAAAAAAAAAAATTTAAAGGTTTGATTGTTGTTTTTTCAAAGCGTGAACCATCATTTGACAGCGTGCGTTTCTTATAAATGATAATATGTTTCATTTGTCTATCATATTACTCCTCATGAATTAGGAGGCACAATAATTATGTATGTTTGAGTTGACGTTTTAAATATTGTAAAAAATATTTACATAGTCAAATTACTTATTAGTTAGATCGTATCAGTAAAATTCATTGATTATAATAAGGTTTTTACAACATCATATGGACCTGCAATTACTTTTTTAATGACATAATTGTGTAAAATACATTTTACTTCATCTTATTTTGTAGCTCGGCACATAATGAGAGTTTAGTGCATTGAATCGCTTTAATAGATATAACTTAAAACTAATATAGCTCGTGTGGGTAGAAAATAAGTTATCCCAATATTATTGATCCCACCTTCGATGTGCATTAAAAATAATACTGAAATAAATTCATCTTAAAATTAATTTTAGAATTAGTTATTCCTCAACTCTAGTATCAAACGCAGAGTAACTCTTCTTTTTCGGTTTAAAATTTTCGGTCTTTTTTTTTTAATCTTATCCTGGTCAAATGTTCTTCAACTGCTCGACAATCGTTAAATGAGTGATCTGGAAAGTTGGTAAAAAAAAAAAAAAAAGACATTCCTAAAGACAAGCATGCCAGCCTTATAATTTTCAATAGTATACAAAAAGTAGGAGAGAAAAAAAAAAAAAAAATTCAAAGTCTTGATTGTTGTTTTTGTTTATTCCAAGATATTATTATCCTCACAGAACACAAGAGAACCAAACAAACTCTTTTAAACTTTCTATTTTTTTATTTTTTTTAAAATATAAACATTTAATTAAAAAGATACTAGTAAGTAAAACAAAACAATATTTACAAGCCCCACCACACATATAATAATGTATGAAATACACCATATTAACGACTAATTTTGAAATATTTAGTCATTAATTTAAACCAAAAAGAAAAAAGAAAGCACACTCGATCATCTGCATTATAGATATTTCAAAATTAATTCATAGTATTACATCAGTAATTTAAGAGCAATTTTCTTTAGATCATCGGAGAAGACCAGGACGAGGAGGAGGATGAAGACGAGGACGAAGAAGCTGTTGGAAATGGCCAAAATTGTGCATTTTTCACCTTAGAAACACTTGTCAATACTCCTAATGGTGTCACATCGCCGATGACTGTAACTTTTTTCGAAGCCAAATCGATATTAAATGATTTTACTCCTGCATAATTTAATACAAAAACATTAATTTATTTGGATAATATATAGCATATCCATAATTATACTAATAATACTATATAATTAACTTGCCTTCCATTCTGGAGATATGTTTTCTTACTTTCCCTTCACAACCTTTGCAATGGATTGACACCCTCAATTCCACAACCTGTCGAACATGCGACTAATAAAATTTAAATTTTATACACTGACAATCGATCTGTTTAAATTATATTTATCTAATTAGATCATAAGATAACTATAAGTGAATGCTTTATGATAAATATTAAATAATTGACAACTAATTTGCTATAATATGCTCATCGTGTGAATTTTTTTTCACACTAAATAAAGTTGTTAGCAACAAATTAAGAAATTAACTAAAATTTAAGTTCTATGCATTGCCCGTCCGTTTAAAAAATATTTACGCACTTAGGTTACTTATAAAATAAATCTTTTATAATAAGTATATAAACGGTAACCTGATAAAATTTATAACTAACCTGTTCACCAGGGCATGAACGAGTTGATTTATAGACACACAAATCAGTTGAATAAGCCGATGAAGGTTTATAGACCGGAGATTCGAGTAAACGAGTCGATGAAGATCGATACATGAGTCGTTCATTTGTGCTTTTAGCCCTTAAAGGTTTGCTAGGAATCAAAGCTTTTGATGTATCTCCAGATGATGATAAGAAATCTATAAATGGAGTATTAGTACTATCACTTAACAAGTACCTAGAAGAGTTACCTAAGTCAGTAACATCAGCTGAGCTTTTACGACGTAATTTTTCATCATGACTCTTTCGATTTTTATTTTGATGGTAGTAAGTTTTGGGATCGAATGGAAGTTGATGAGATGAACATGGGATTGGAGTTTTGATTTTTGGTGTACGAGGATCGCCTAATCGATCGATTTTACGATCAATTTGATGCCTAATGCCACGACGAACCATAGTATATTGATCCATACTTGAACATATGGCTGTGGAAGCAGGAGAAGCACAAAAAAGATCTATGGATTTCATTTTTTTGGGACCAAGAAGATGATGAAAATAATAAGCTAGTTATAATATAGCATAAGTTATACTAGGAAAAAAGATGGAAGGGAGAGTAGTATAGAAAAGATTTTTTTTTTCAAAATGAGGGAAGGGGGTGAACTTATAAAGTAGTGGTAGACTAGAGTAGGAGGTACGGAGCGAGTGTGTATGTTATGAATTCAGCAGAACTCAATAATTTTATTGATGATGATTCGAACTTTATATTGATTTAAAACTCAACAATATAGAAAAAAGGTAAAATTTTGAATTTATAAATTTTAAATTCTGACTATGGGGCGAAAAATAAGTAGAAAATAGGGAAAAAGAAAAAGATGGCAACTAAGGCCCCATAAGAATTGATGAATAATGTAGACCTTAGGGGACACAGGATTTATCTGGACCTTTAAAGTTGTGTCTGCATTTTTCTTTTAGTTTTTCTTTTATGTTTTAAGTGGGTAAGGGGTGGGTGGGGTTGAGACTAGACAAGGTTATTGTTTGAATTTTAACTTTTATTACATTGTAAAAGAATATTTGCATTATTAAGTAATCTTAAAAAATGACTATACTTTTTTCATTTTAATTTATGTGTTTGATTTGACGAAGTATAATTAAAGAAAATGTTTCTTTCTCGTAATATGTTAAAATTGACAAGTAAAAATAAAATAAATTTAATAGATAATTAAAATGAATAGAGAAATACGTATTAAAATTATTAAGTACATTGATTGCTTATAGAGGCTTTTTAAGTTGTCTTGAGTTGCGCTGCTAGTGTACTCTTTTCAACTGAGTTTGGTTTTTTCTTCCTTTCGAAATTAGCAAAAAATTTAAGCCTTCGCAATTTTTCTTGAATGATGGTCGAATTAATCCTTTTTTCTATTGATATTGAAACTGATATTTTGATTGTCTTCTTTATTATTCGATAATCAAATTTATTATTATTATATCGATATTAAATTCAGTACCTCGCTTCCTTGATACACTTATAATTAAAGTAAATTAATCTTTTTCTACTTTTGTGAGCTTTGGATGTGAATGATTAGGAGCATTAATAGCAGCAAATGTAGGAAAATGTGAAGACTAATTAATTAGTAGACCATATTATTACCATATCATTGCCCACAAGATTTGACTCTTAGGAAGATCATATGAGAAGGCTAACCGAAAGTAGCCTTTCCTTTGTCTATTTTCATATTTGTTCCACTCTTAAAAGTTTGTTGATTTTTGTACATCCATTTTTTCACTTAAGTCATAATTAATTAACACACATTATTATTTTATTATAATCAGCTGATATGATTTAATATACATATTCAGTATAAATAATTTTTTGGGAAACTTACAGAAATCCTATTAATTTAAGAGAGTTAATTACTTAGATACACTCTAGTTTACAATATTACGAATTTTACCAGGATTTAGTGTGTCCAGATACGTTCAAATACATGTGATCGATCTTAAAATACATGAAATCAAAATTAGGTGTAATTTGTTCTAGATACGATATATATATCCAAGTGGATTCACATGTATCTAGATGCATAACAAATCTCGCTCGCATCTCTCTCATTTGTATCTTAGATACATCCGACCTCCCCATCTCACTCACCTTTCTCCATATTTTAATGTATCGTCTAATGGAAAAAATTTATATACCTAAGTATATCTTCGGGTAATTGTTAAAATTGTAACTCTCTTATTCTTGGCCATCTTAATTAGGAGATTATAATGGTGCGTGCAGTTCAATAGTTTTTGAAAATATTATACACTGAACACGTGGAATTTAATACTCTACTATTATCAAAGATTCCTCTAGCATAGTTTTTCTCCAAGTTCAAACATTCCGATTTTCTGCCTCAGAAAATGAGCTAAATATATAAATTATAGTGTCCTGTAATGGGAAAAGTTGATATAATTATATTATATGAGTAAATTTTTGAAAGAAAAAAAGCTATGTAAAGACTAAATAAAGACATTGATTTGGGACCCAAATTTGTGGAGTATAATTGGATGAAGACAAAGTATTAGTCAATTAATTGCGGAGAAAGTTAAAGATTAAGACAAACAAAGATGAGTTAATTTAGGATTTAATACACAAAATAAGTTGGGGTTCACGTGATAAAGTGTTCGTTTCAAGAATTCTCTCTAATTAAATTAATTAATTATTCGACCTCGTTGGTTTTAGTACTCTCTCGGTTCATTTTTATTTATCACTTATTCCTAAAATAATTTTTTCATTTTTATTTGTTACTTTTGACATATCAAGAAAAGACAATTATTTTTTTCCATGTTTTACCTTCAGGATTAAATATTTATTGTACAAATCAGTTTCCAAGACTCAATACTAAACATCGATCATTTAATTGGGTACCTATATATATAATTATTTTCTTAATGGGTGTGCCAAGTCAAACAGTGATACATAAAACTGAACGGAAGGCGTAATTTATATTCCATTTGTTTCAACTTATTTGTTGTATTTCTCTTTTACATGTTTTGTAAGAGAATATTAATTAAGATAAAGGTGATTTGACAGGATATAACATAGCTCTAACTTATCGCGAGGACATGCATGACCCCTTAGTTAGGGGTTGTTGGGACACGGATTAAGATAGAAGATTAGTAGGTAATAGTGCGTTGTCTTGCGACCCGTCCATACCACTAATTGTAGTATTGCTTCTGTTGTTATCTGCCCTTCGAATTTATTTTCTATATGTTGTTTCTTATACTTCGATTATTATATCATTTTGTTATACTTACGTACTGTTCAAAATATTTTGTTAAACGCTTTCATTTCCGTTTTTTTTTTCTAGATTATGATTGTGGATTATTTTTTCTAAATCAAAGGTCTATCAAAAATGACATTTCTAGGCGTAAGGTCCGAGTACACTCTACCCTCCTCATACCCCACATTTTATTTATTTAAAAAATATTATCCTTTTTGATTATTTTCAAAGTCTTCTTTAAAAATAGAAATAGTCATTATTTTTCTGCGTCTGAATATTGATACCAAAATTATTCTGCTGCAGAATCACACAGCTATGTACTCCATATATTTAATCTTCAATATTAAATTGTTTATGCAACTTTTTGCATCATACTGACATTTTCTTTGGGAGGAAAAAAAAGTTTATCTACAATATTATTGTCACTCCCCAAAATTGAAGAGGAACATTTTTGACATATAATATTGCTAAGTTTAAAATTAATTATGAAGTCATGAACCTTTAATTGACATTTAAATACACATAAGTCTTTGAAATATTTCTCGAAAATAATTAATTGAAGTGTCTAAAATAAAGTAGCAAGGCTACATCGCATGTTTTCTCATAAGCATACAAATTCAATAATTCACATATCAATTACGTATTTCTACAAATACCTACTTAATTCGAAAGGTGAAAAAAATATTCAGAAAGTTTGAAATAATGAGTAAATAAATCATTCAAAAGTAGTTAAAATTTTTGTATTATCAACTTTTTTTTCCACAAATCAACTAGAAAGCTTTTCCAACAACCAAACACATAATTTTGGATCAAAATGTCAAATGCACAACTTTAAGTCAATATTTTGGAGTAAATTAATTCCATTAGTGCTAGACCACATGCAGTTTATCCAGAATAGTTACTTGTGGACCTACTTCCTCAATTTATTTTACTTATCATATTTTTTATTTGTATGTCCATTAAAAAAGTAAAAGATAAAACTTTGATCAAAATATCCTTTTTTATTTTGTTATCAATACTACTCTTTCTTTACCACATTAATCTATTTTCATATTTATTAAATAAAATTAAAAAGATAAATTAATAATTAATTATATCTTAATTTTGTAATATTCTAATTATTTAGATCATAATATTTAGCAAGCACGATAGCTAAAATAGATCGGAGAAAGTAATTAACTATCTTTAAAAAGGGAAATACTGCTAATATACCCTTAACTTTATGGTTTTAGCAAATGGTTGTAATGATTATACTTGCAAAAATGGGGATAATGTGTTCTCCTTTGGTAGGGCCAATTTCTTTTAAGTAATTAAATATTTAAGTGGATATTAAAGGTTGGCATCATAATTACATTCTGAGATTGCTTAGTGATTAGCATTACAATAATTTTATCAAAGTTGACTGTGTGATCCATTTTTTTTCACTAAACACAATCCTTTAACTGATTTTGTGTTAAAATTTTCTTGATTTTGGGTCCACACAGTTATGATTAATTATATAAAGTTTTGTACTTGTCAAAAAGTATAAGATTTTTCTTTCCTTTCCTTCATCAGAAAGTGAAAAACAAAAATTTAACTATTGGAAAACAAAAAGTGTAAGGTAGAGTTAGGTTTAAAGCTAGCGATAACAATAATATATTCAATGGTAATTTCATAAATGAAACCTGAGAGGGTGGCTGGGTGTGTACGCTATGACAGAGACAGATGAAAGCAAGGGGTTCATTCCTTTAATTTTGACCAAAAAATAGGTCGTATATATAAAGTATAAATTATATATGTATATATATAGATATTCAATAGATGTTAAATTTCCATGGTCTTTTTGTGTCTTTAGTTCTTCATATTTTGAACATGTTTAATGAAAATAAGGGCTCTGCCACTAATGTAAGCAACCTTAACCCTACCTTGTGAAGCCTGAAGGTAGATATGTTATTTTCGATGAACCTCTGGCTCAAATAAAACATATCAAAATAATAAAATAAGTATGAAAAACAAATAAAATAATAAAGAAATCATGTTAAAATAATGGAGAAAGAAAATAGTATCGACAGAAAATAATAAGTACTCGAATATATATTGGAAAACATATAAATATAGTTAATCTTCAAATAATCAACTTTGCTTTATTAGTTTTCTCGTAAATATTTTGGTAGGGTCACAAATACAGACATATATCCAACCAACAACCTAGAAAGGAATTTCTTGTCCTTGAAATTTTTCTTATCCCTTTGCCCCTCTGGACGGAAAGTGCCGGATTTTTTTATTCGATGTTTAATATTCGTATTGAAATTAGATAAAATTTGAAATTCAAGTATTATAAGTTTTTTCTTTTTTTTGAAGATGGTACTTTTAATAAGATTTGTTCTAATTCATG